CCGCTTGAAATCGAAGACCTGATCCATGCCGAGAGCCCACGCCTCATGCTCGCCCAGAACTGCCCTGATTGGTTCTCCGAAGGCTCAAAATCTTCAAGGGCTTAGACAAAGACTCGACCCTCGGCAATGAAGTGAGGTGATCAAGTGCTGTCAAAATCGTGAAATCCAAAAAATCAAAGAGATTAAGAGCCTAAGGAGTGGCTCCGTGAATTTCCAGGAGTTTGAGGCCGCACATGCGGCACTCCAAGCACAGCTGCAAGCTGCTGCAAAAGCCAAAGCCAAGGCAACCGCCCTGAGCTTCAGCACATTATGCCGATGCCGCAGTTAGGCAGAAGCTTCAGCATCATGGTCATCAATCTCGCCCTGATGATGATTGTGATGATGAGTTGGTGGTGGAAACAATAAAAATGATGATGGTCCCCATGATGGGGAAGAAGAAAGGGCTCTACAACCTCAAGCTGCCCCCAGAGTTCTGCTGCCAGCATGATGCTTATTCCCTTAGCGGACAGAAATCAGCCAGGAACTTGCCAGGAATGCTGCAGTAGCAGCTCTCACATGAGCTTGGCAAGGAAGACTTCCAATGCATGATAGTCATTTACTTGGCCTTACCCGGACATCACCTAAGAATGCAAGCTCATGTATTTCCACCGAAGGTAGTGGATGATTCAGTTACCTGGGCTTCGCCTTGGCGTCGTTGCAGGCAAAAGCCGAGGGCAAGGCCAAAGCTGCGGGCAAAGCCAAGGCTGGAGCCAAAGCTGAAGCCAAGGCCGAGGGCAAAGCCAAGGCGAAGGGTAAAGCAAAGCCCAAGGCCAAGGCTGCAGCTGCAACTCGGCGCTCTGACCTGTCTGAGAAGTTTACGTCAGCCGTCCACTGCAAGAGCTTCATAGGATCTTGAAGGCGCCACACAGCCGCAAACCAAAAATAGCCAAGGCTGAACCAGAAGTGCAAGAAGAGCCGACCGTAGAAGAGCAGGATGGACAGGCGCGTCCAGCACTGCTCACCTTGACATGAGCTCCGAAGATGGTTTCAGCGTGTGTAGGTCTCCATCTTCGATTCCTTGCCGGGGTTTGGCTCCTTCGTGCCAAGCGTGGGAATGCCAGACCTTGGAGTTTCCTCTCTGTTTGCGGAGGACACGAGGGTGCCAGTTGCAAAGGCTATTCCTACGCCTAAGAAGGCAAAGCCACCGCCCTTACCGGAAGCGGCGCCTCCGCCTCTTTCATCACAAGTTCCATGGTCCACGCAGCTTAAGTCTGCAGACCCGGACTGGTACGATCCCGATGATGCTGAGTACTCCGGCTCGGACGACTTCCCTGATGTTGGAGAAGAACCCGAACAACCCGCCAGCTCTACAGCTGCATCCCCAGTACCAAAGGCAGAAGCCAAAGCCATGGCTGAAGCTAAGGCTGAAGCCAAGGCTGCGCCTAAGGGGGTGCCGAAAGCAAAGCCAGATGCCAAAGCCAAGCCCAAGGCAAAACAGAAAGCAAAGGCAAAGCCTAAGGCGGTTCCCGGCCAAGCTCTTGGAGCTCCTGCGCCCAAACCACCCCAGGGCCGTGCCGAAGGTGTCTCTCCAGTGCAGGGGGTCACAGAGGACATCTTCTCCTCGCCCATTCACAGACGCGAGGCCGTTGTCCACCCCTCCGACAAGCGCGACCCCCGGGCAATCCGTGCCCTGCAGACACCCGGGGGCCTGGACCTCATCGAGCAAACTCCAGAAGTGCTTTCCGAGCCCGAGTCGCAAGACTCGGCCGCTTAAGCAGCATTCCGTGTGTTCCTTATGGCTGTGCTTCTGTCCCACCATCTTGGGCGCTTGGCTCAGGTGGATTCAATCTCGGGTGAAGTGGCACGATCCTGGGACCCAACAGCCAAGGATGCGCGGAGCTCAAATGACTAAGTGACTAAACTTTTTTCCGCCGTGTATTCGCCAAAGCTACAGCGCCGAAAAGCTCACTAGTCAAGGTCAGGTATACCTATGCCAGGGACCGCGCGGTTGGCTTCTCGGAGTTCTGGAGACCGTTGAAATGGTCCGAGGAAGAGTGGGAGCGCCGTAATTGCCTCGGAACGCTTGGCTAGGAGTTTGCTCCAACACTTCAATTAGCCCAAGCCTTGCTTCGCGGCGTCTGAGGACTCACTGCTTCAGGGAACCTACGAAAACGAGGAGTTGGTGTCATGAAGCACCAGAAGCCAGACCCCGTTCCTTGGCACAAGCACCTGTCCTGTTTGCCAAGAAGAATCAATACTGAATCTTGGGAGTTCTGTTGGCAGCTCAGGAGCCGCGGCAAGTGGTGGAGGTTCACGACGAAATTTCAGTTGTCTTGAGCTGGGCTTTGCGGAAATATTCGCTCCCTGAGCAGGCTGTGGACGCCGAAGAGCCAGACACAGAGCCTGAAGATCTAGTGGCGCCGGAGATTCTGGGCATTCTTGGTTTGGAATTCTCAAAAACTCCTCAGCTCCCATGCTAGGACTTTGCAAGCACAGGGCGGGAGTTCACGTAGACCACAATGAGATGTTTCCTCGCAGTTTGACAAGATGTGGGCATTTCGTAAGTCCAGGCTAGCATCATTATAAGAGCATGCTGCTTCAATAGGTTCAATAGCTCATTCGCCAGAAAAGGAAGCCGAAGCCACGCTCACAGTACCCGCTCGCGACTGATCCTCTGACGCAGTTGCGCAGCAAGGCTGTTTGGAAGTAATTCACGGTGGGCTGAGACCGCTGAGACTACGTAACAGAATTCACAAGATGGACCAAGGAGGTCAAGCCGAAATATATCGACAAGCCGCTGAGTGGTTTGAAGGCAAAACCAGCCGACACTCTTGAAATCGAGCGCTCCACATGATCACGGCTTCTGGTGTAGCATGGGAATCCACTCTCAAACATTGACTGGAGATGTCTCGTATCCTTTACAAGCTTGTCCTGGTGCAGGATGCAGCGGCCGAGGGAGCAGTTCACTCCCTCCGCAAAGCTGCCAAAAAGCCGGCATCACCATCCTTCGATCTTCGTCTGTTTGGGCATGCCTTCTGATGTTGCCTAAATCGACAGCCTAAGCAGTGTCCACAGTGCATGGGCATAGACTTCCTGTTGCAGAGCTTTTTGCCTACAAGCCAAGGGACATCCGGATGATGAGTTGCTCATTAGCAGCCCGCCAGCTCCACGCCAAGCTGTCCGCCCTGGGGAGCCTTTAGCCCCTTTGCTGAAGCTGGCCAATCTGAGGATTAGGAGTTGAATGTGGTCACTCTCTCAATTCAAACGCACTTGCTTTGGTCAATCGCAGGTTCCGCTGGCTAAAGCAGGCCCGACGTGGCAAGAGTCCCCCAGGCCGGAATATTTGCGTTCGCTGTTGTTGCGCATGTTTTGTTCTAGTAGCACGGATCAAGTGCACATTGAATCAGTGCATGCCGTTGTCATCCTCGTCGTCGCTGTATGTCGCTGTGAGCCGTCGCGGTGCTTTTTAATGTAGGTTGAGGCTTGTTTCTTCGCTGGTAAGTACTTTGGATTGTTTGGTCGTTGTTGTTCTGGTGATGATGGTGGTGCCGGTCGTCGTCGGCATCCTCCTCCTGCGATTGTGAAGGGTGGTTAGGTAGTGGTGCTTGGAAGGGGGTTTCTAAGGACGCTGTTCTTCGCAGCCGGTCTGATCTGCGCAACAAAAACAAGAACTCTCAGATTTCTCGGCAAAAAGAATCAGAGAGCTCTTCGAGCTTTCTTGGGAGTCCCGCAGGCTTTCTCACTAGTTTGCGTGAAAAGCAGGAAACAATGCCATTCAGGAACCATTTTTGCATATTGACTCCATTGGTTCAAACCTAAAAATCCCAATAGACATCTGAAGCACCATTTCAGCATCTTGAACAGATAGCATGCCTTGTCCTGGCCTTGTTCTCGGTCTTCTGCTTCTTGGTATTTTTGTCGTAGCCCTAGAGCAAGCACCAGCGCCGCTGCCGCAGATAATTCTGTTTGCAGGTCTGGCCCGCCGGATGTCCCCAGCTTTGGCCTCCCGGCTGGCATTGGCCTGGCTGCGCTTCTGCCTGTCTTTGAACTGCAAAAAAAAAGATTGGTCTATCCTTGCCCATGTAATGCCAAAGGCTATCCCAGCACAGCTCAGACAGGGCCTCAGCTTCAGCCTGTTCAAGGGGAGTGTGTGCAGGGAGAGGAAGAGACATGCTAGCAGAAGAGGACAAGACAGAGAAGATCTGCATACCAATGAAAGCAGTTACAACATTAAGGAAAAGCTGTTCATGTTGAAGCAGGCTTTCTGGAGCTGGTGGGTGGCAGCCTCCACCTGCTGTCTTCTCGAGCGGCCTTTCACCGAGAACGACCCAGAGATGCCTGTTTGAGCTTTCAGTGCTTGAGAAATCTTGAGAATTGAGAATTGGGAAGTCTTGCCTCGCATGTTGGTGCTGGTTTGTGCTGTCCCGCATCCAAGGGCCCCTGCTGCATGAGGTATCTTGGCAGCACCAAGGCAGAAAACGCAGGCTGCTTTGAGAGCAAGTCCGATGTGAGGTTGGTGCGCCAGGATCACAGCAGCCCACGCCCGCACACCTCCTAGGCCGGTGTGCTACACAGTGTGTCCAAAGCGTTCCTTCCTCACCCCTTCGATGAAGCAGGTGCCGATTACGGCGACAAGCCCGGTCGAACTTGGCTGTGATTGCTATCCGCTACGTCATCCGCTACCGCTACGTCATCCACTGCCTCATCAGCTACGTCATCCTCCACAGGATCGATCTGCGAAAGAGCTTGGCGGCGAAGCAGTTCTTGACCCTTTCCTTCTTGCAGCATCGAGAACGCGGACCCTGAGATCTGGCTGAAAAGTACGTGAAGAGGTTCAGTGCGAGCCGAGCTTAGCAATCTGAGCTGATGGAGAGGTTAACGAGCTGCGCGTCATCTGGGATGCCTTCGTTTGTGGATGCCTTCATTCGTGCGATCGTCCTCCACACGCTGCCCCCCCGGTCCAGGAGGTCACTGATGCATTTGCCAGTTCATCAGCAGATTCCCTCCGCTCAGAGGAAAACATGTCACGCTCCAGTGCATCGGAATGTGCAGAGCCATGCAACGTCATTTCAAGCTGCTTGAAGCAGGGGCGCGTGTGTCCGGACGAGGACCTGCTCAGAAAGGCCCTTCCTGCACTGGCAGGCCCGGGCTCTCTTTCTCACAAGTGCCACTTCTGTCTGCTCTGGTAGACTACCGACTCCTTTGAGGCTCTGGGCACCATAAGGAAGTCAAGCTGGAGGTGATGCCAGATCAGGTCCGAGCTTTTGAAACTCTTCTTATGCATGCATGTCCCTTTGACCCATCGGCTGACAGGAGTTGAACGTGCTTCAGTTGCTGCCTGAGAAGCCTACCCGTACTGCCCTCAGGGTTTGAGCGGGTTGCGGGTGGAGTTCGCAAGAATGTTGTCTTGCAAAAGCCAGGTGGGCTGGCAAGAGATGATTCCTGGCTAGGGGTCTCCAGCCACTCCGAAGGCCCTTCTCTTCTGCAATCAAAAAGGACCTTGCAAGACAACGCTGTTGACCTTGGCAGGCAACTTGGCCTTTCATGACAGTCCCTCCAGTTCGGGCGTGGAGGCCTACGGTGCTGCGCCCAGCTGTATCCTATTCTTGCAGGACACTTCAGTGCACCTTCCTCTGCACTTGCTTGGCTGTCTAAGAGCAGAGCGTTGCTTGCCTAGCGTCAGGCCCAGGTTTGGGCAGACGTAGGATGCGGCGCAGCGTTGTTGTATGGCACAGACAAGAGCTCCAAGAGGGGAGCCACGTCATGGGATTGGGGCTTGAAATTCTTGAAAGCTTCGAAACTTTTCAGCATCAAAAACAACTTATGCCCTGTTTCCTGGGGAGTACACCAAATCCGGAATGCTTTTTTGTTGATGCTTGGGCTTCGACCCTACACCCTGGCGGGAGGAGAGCGAGCAGGAAGGAAGGACGGAGGGAAGGAATGCTCATCACCCCTTTCATCAATGTTCATCAGCTTTGATAAGTCTCATCATTCTCATCATCATTTTCATGATGTTACATGATTTTCTCAACATTTCGTGATTTTTCATGATGTAGTAGGGTTGCTTCGTCATTTTCATGAGTTTTCGCTGTTTTCCTGATGTCTCATGATTCTGCATGATTTTCATTAGTGTTTGTATTTTACCATTTTTCAGTTCATCATTTTGATAAGTTTCATACTTGTTAATCAATTTTTCATGATTTTCATGATTTTTTCAGATTGTTCATAACTCTTCATCACTTCCATTAGAGTTCATATTTTTCCATCATTCTCATCCTTTTTGATCATGTTCATTTCCTTCTCGTCATTAATCACATCACCTTGCCAAATCACGGCGCGGAAGAAAACACATGTCCTGAACGCTTCGATTTTAACCTTCGTCCAGGTTTTGCAAAGGTGGGGTGGCTGCGCCCCTCCTCAACCCCCTTCCTGTCCTTTTTCAACACACATTCACGCAAGCATTTTTCATCAGATTCCCCTTCTCACCATGATTGTTCATGAGTTTCCTTTTCATTCATCATTTTCATTGTTTTTTCGCATGTTTCGCCATGTTCATCTAGTTCCACAATGCTCCATTATTTTGTACTGTTGTTGATGATATTTTGTGATTTCATGATTTTCATCATTGTTTATGATGTTTCATCAGGTGTCACCATTTCTGCGCATTTATCATGTTAGATGTTTTAGATGGTTTTCATGCTTGTTCATTGTCTTCATGCTTTTTCATAGTGTCATGATTTTGCTTGATGTTTCACGATTCTTCATGGTTCTTATGTTTTCATCGCAATTTTCATCATAGCTCTTCATTTACTACTTTTTCATCGTTTGTAACCCTTCGTCATTTTCTTGACGAAATCATTAGTTTTGATTGTTTTCATGATTTTCATGTTGTTCCATCATTTTCAGTATTCTCTTTTTATTTCCATTATGTTCATAATTTCCTATTTTTCAATTTTTGAACTTTGCGTAATTTTACATTAACCAGTACTACTCCTACCAATCCTGTTGCTACTGCTACTATTCATATAGTTTTGTATACCACTTGTGCTGCTGCTACTACGACGACGACTATTACGACGACGACGACGACGACGAACGCCGGCGGCGGCGGCGGCGACGACGACGACGACGACGGCGAAGACGTCAACGAAATAAAGTGTTGTTTTTGATTCTTGCCTTTTGTCCTTGCCCCTACTAAATTTATTACACAAGTTGTTTCACACTTGAAAGGTTTGTTTTTATGCGCTGGGCGTATGTTATTATGCCTATAAAGTCTTTTTGAGCCCTCACCCCCCCATGACGTACATGTGGCGAAAGGCTGCGCTGAAGGCTAATCTGCCTTACCCAACTCCGGGATCTGTCTCTGAGAGAAAAAGCGCTTCCCCTTGTCAAATCTGGGCATGGCGTGTTCGACCGACTCGTCACAACAGGGGACAGGAAGATGAGGAAATTCAAGTCGCCACCGCCACATAGCCAAACTTGAGAGAACTTGAGGACAGGCAACAGATAATGCAGGTAGCTGGGTATGCAGCAACAACCCACCACACAAACCAAGAAGCACCCCAAGCAGTGCGCCAAGCAAGCGAAAAGAGGAACACGCACAAACAGACGCCAGTCTCATTTAGTTCCATCGGGATCCTGAATCATAAGCGACTTGGAAGCCCAGAGAACTTGCAAGCATAATGCTTGGCTGGATACAGGACGGCATGCAACTTTGGATCCTCAGGCTCCATCCCTTCAGAACTGCTGATTCCTGAAGAAGAAGTGTGTACGGAGTAGGGGTCAAGGTTCAAGACGAAGCCAGAAGAGGCTGTAGATTGGACACCTGAAGTGGGTACCATGGCTCTCATCAACGCGGTTCCCAAGGCAAGGGATCCAGTTCGACGAAGGCGGCGGTTCAAGTTGTCTTCTGAGCGTGCTGCTGCTTGCGGACCTGTGCTTGAGAGGCTGGGCTAGTGTCTCCGAAGCCTCCTAAAGACGAACCAATCACGCCTTCGCGGCTGCCTCAGCCCCTTCTTTCTGCCCCAATTTTTCTGCACCGCCTGTTGAAGGCTGGGCAAGCTTGATCTTCGAAGGTTTCATCAGCGTATGGAGCCCATGGTGCATGGATGCCACGCAACACTCTGTGATGCAGGCCTGGCCGTGTCCACAGAATCTGAGGCATTGGCATAGCCTTGATTGGGCGATCTGGACCGGGAATAAACAACGTCATCATGGGCTTATTCGACTACGTCCAGGCCTGGGTGCTTGCAGCCTGCTGCATTCCCACCTTTGTACCTCTGCAGGCATGGAGCGGCACTGTGGTATGCATTGCCATGGGCCTTGCCGGGCTTGTGAACGGATACTCCTTCGAGCTGACTGAGGTTCCAAAATGCAGTTGAGCTGGTCCATGTTCCCGTGAGTTTGCTTGGAGAGAAGGAGTTGCTGGCTCCGCACCGTAACCAAGGAGGCCACAAGGAAAAGCTTCTCACCTGTACATGTCACCATGCCTCGCGGCAGGCTGCGATTTGCTTGGGCAGAGCCAGCCCGAGGATACGCAGTGATGACAGCTTACAACAACTTGCAGTTTCTTGGAACGTAGATTTTCGAAGCTGCAGGATATTGAAAAGCTGGGCGGTGAACTGCACGAAGCCTAGCTCATAGAGTGCGCAGACCGTCGATGTGGAAAGTAAAGCAGATGTTGAGAAAAGAACATCAGGGGAGTCTGCAGGAAGTTCGTGAAATGGGCAGAACGCATTTTCTTGGTGTTGTGCTGTTGTGCATGTTGTGCTGGTCAGAACTTGGGCAGTCCTTCAGGCACGCCTGTGCCAGCACCTGCAGAAGATTGAAGTTGGATGGTTTGGTGGTTTGGGGAGGCAGCCCAGCCAGCAACGTGATTCAGAGATGCCTTCTGTTTTTTCTGGCGCATGAGCTCTTTCCACGTTTGAGCCGCTTTGTCCGAGCCTTTGTACAAATCTATTCGCTCCTCGGCTTAGACGCCGGAGCCTCCCACACGCTATCAATGAGAATCATGTGGTTTAGCCTCCTGCTTCACCTGAGCGCCCTTGTGCAGGGTGAGGATGTGGATGGATGGGAAGCCGTCAGGGCAATCCTGAGTGCTTATTTCCCTATTCAAGACATGGCTTTCTCTGCTGGGCTGGCTGATGGGCGCCACTTCACTTTTGAGAAGGGACAAACTTCCATGTCAACTCCCCTTGCCATGGCATCCTCAAGCAAGTTTCCGGCCGCAATTGCTATTGCTGGGTGCGTGGCGGAAGGGCATTTGACGTTTGATACCTTCGCACACGAGGTTTTTCCCTGGTGGACGTCGGATCCCGCTGTTCCAAAGAGTCGTGTGACTTTACGGAATTTGATGTCTTTCACGAGTGGCTTCTACTCCCCTGACACGGGTGGAAGTGTACCCTGCCTTGGTGCCAATGCGTCGGTTTACACAGCAGAAGCCTGCGCAAGGGAAATCTACGACCTCGCTCCTTTCCTCTACGAGCCAGGAACAACTTGGGCATATAATTCATTCCATTTACAGGTTGCTGGGGCCATGGCTGCCTATGCAGCGGGCATCTCTGTGCAGGAGCTGCTTCATCGCTACCTTATCCAGCCCTTGAAGTTGAATGCAACCATGTGGATGGGTGGAGGGAACCCGGGCCTGGCTGGAAATATGATGACAACAGGCAACGACTACGACCGAATCTTGCGGGCATACGTGGGCCACGAATTGATCCCTGAGAAGGTCAGCAAGGAGATGGAAAGAGATTATTTGGATGGCGTGCAAGTTGCAAACTCCAGCACTTTCTTGGTCCAGCTGCTTGGTCATTATTCCATGTGCAATTACTTCGAGTGTTTTCCGCCAAAGACCAGCGGATTTACCGACCAATGCAAGAGGGCCAATGTACATATGGATGCTGGCTTGTTTGGCTACTATCCTTTGGTGGACCGTGCGAAGGGGATGTACATGCAGATCGTGACCATGAAGTTTCCGCAATCCCAGGCAACCTACTTTGCACCGACCATCGCTTCGATGGCCTTGCGTCTCATCACGAAGGGCTGGGTTGACAAAGCCCTGCGCTTGCCCACGCAGGAGACAAACAAGCTCCGGACTCGGACAATCATGCATGAAGCCCCTGGTCTCTTGCTTAAGCTTGCTTCAGCTTGCTCTTTTGTTAAACCGTTCCTAAGTCCTAAGTATCTTTCCCCGAAAGTCTGATTGGAACCGAGGCCGAGAGTGTGACGGTCGAGCTGCTTAGAAGCTCGGGTCTGGAAAAGGTCTGGCAGAGTCCAGCGATATTGTGGTCCAGCTTGAAGAATGAGACGCTTGTAGTGTGATAAGCACAGGTCTGAAAGTGGATCGGTACAGCTCTGGCCGCTTTACAGCCTTTGGCCTTGACTTTCTTGGCACAGCACGCCTTTTCTGCTCGCGTATCTAGGGACTGGGGCATCAAGGCGCCCCTGCCCTGGAAATGCAAGAGCACACGGTCTCTCTTTGGGAACAGGGCAGGTAAGCAGGTGAAGTACCAGCAAGTGCACCTGCCACCAGATTCAAGTTAACGCTCACATGAAGCGCTGGAAAAGAAAGACCGATGCATGCCCAGATGAGACCTGGAAGTGTGGACCTGATGGCTTCATTGCCTGGTGCATCAAACACAGTGAAAGGCCGCAATGTGCATTCCTGGACAGCAAGACTCGCGGAATACTTCTCCGAGCACAAGGCTGCTGCGTTCTTGCGAGTGCTTGTTGTTGCTGGCATGCGGACAGAACATGAGGTCAGAACATGCGTTGTCGGTATACCAGCCAGCTCGGATCTGAAGCTTGTGTCTTTCGTTGTTTGTTGCATGACAGTACTGATCATGTGCGAAAGATTTGATTGTCAAGTGAGGCGTGCAATCAGACCTGCCTTTGATTGAGCAGTCGTACCCTCAGTGGCTCCAGGCTTCGGCAAGCAGTAGCTCTGAATGGCAGAGGGCTGCTTTCCAGGACCCTGGGCTACGACACGGTCTGCAAGTTGTATTCCTCGATTGTTGGCAATTTGGCCATTAAGGCCAGGCATCCCAGAAGCGAAGTCTCTGAGCTATGAGCATCTGCTGGCAAGGCCGCCTCATCCGGATCAATCTGGTGTTTTGTGCGAATTCCTGGCCGATCAATCTCCCACATTGCAGCCGAGGCCTGTTGTGAAGCAAAACGTCCTTTTGTTCACACGAGTGCCTGTAGTGCAGGTGGCGCTTCTGACGCATCCGCACGTGGTTCTGATGCTGGGGCCTCCAGTCCAAACTGGGAGCAGGGCTTACGTAAAGCCAATGCAGTGGCTGTTTGTATAGGTCGTCGGATACTGGACATGAGTCCCTGGGCCTGACAGACGTCACGCAGATGATTTGCAACGCAAAGCGCTCAAAGAGCAGCCTGAAAAAGCCTTTCTTCAGAGTTGAGTGATGGCCACCCTCATCAGGCATGTTCTTTGGGGGATGTAGTTGCGTGATTTCCAAGGTCATCGAGGTGCGGAGTAAAGAAGGAAACAACAGCGGTGTGGTCAGTATCTCGTGGCCCCTAACAATTGAATCCTATCTTTCACAGCTTTGGGCTAAGGTGTTGGTCCCGGACCAGCTGCTGGCATCAGTGTTTGCGACTCGCCTGCGCTTGTTCTGGGCCACCTGACCAGCACTGTCAAACTGGTATAGACTGGTATGGCTGTTATTGCCCATTATTGCCCTGGCCGGAGTGGATCTGCTTCGGAGACGAATTGTCTAGCCGGCTGTAGTAGGAGAATGCAGAGTGGATGAGAACGTGCATGACCCGCCTGGCATGCAAATGGCCACGTCGTTGAGTTGCTCAGGAGATGAAGCAGCTGTTCCGTGAGGCCTGGATGAATTGGCTTGGTACACAGTTAAGACATTTGCCAGAGTTAGCCCTGACAAGATTTATGAGATCTACACAGCAAGTCCTGAATGCTTTGCTCGCCACGGCCTTGGGTCATTTGGATGCATGGGGCTGCCTTCTGCATGACACGAGCAGAGCTCAGACTTGAACACCAATGGCGTTATCGATATGCCTCACGTCCAGCATCTGCTGCCAAAGCCTTGGATCACTGGAAAGTCTTCGCAGCAACGTTTGGTGCTTGAAACGCGTGTGTAAGGCCACCTCTCACAGCCGCTCTGCGGAAGCCTCAATTCATGGTCATTGGAGTGGGCTAGACACTGAGGATGACCGTGTAATAAGGTTCAAGTCGATGCCGGATCGTGTCCGCGTCCAGATCTGCCGAGTTGTCGTTGAGGCCGCTAGACTTGCCAGACTGTGTTGTACATCTGGTCCTGCAAAGCCTCCTTCACTCCTGATGCAGGGCGAGTTCTGTCGTGGAGGCAACATCGACCTTGGCACCGTCGAGACAGAGGCCGTTGAGACCACCAACCGTAAAGCTGCAATCAAGAAGCCTGTCAAACTGCACAGAGGTGATCTTCAAGAGCATGGTGGAGGGCGAGCTCACGCGTCGCGCTTTCTTGGGTAACTTCCATGGCCCATTCCAGGCAGTGACAGCAAGTTCTTCGCTTTGAGTTTTGATCAAGCATGTCCAGGCGATTACCTATTCCCTCCCGTACCAAGCGCGCAGATGCCTTAACGCGTGATGCGGGCAGATCACAGCATTTCCACGAAGCCTGCAAATTCACCTGCAGGTGCTGCGCTACCCAGCAACTTCGACTGCGACCTTGGATACACCATTGGTCACCGTCTAATTTTCTTGGCGTGCTTGTCAGTGCTTGTGCCTGCCAGATTCTGTGACGCAATTGCAGAGATGAGGCTATACTGCTGGAACCTTCGTCGCGCACGATAAGACTGGCCTTCTGGTGGACGTGACAAAGCTCAAAGAAGACGTCAGGTACTGGGAGGCCGTTGTAACGAGGGCGGTTGCTGCTGCGCGGGAAATATCAACATTGAATCAAAGGTGTACAAGAAATTCAGGGTGATTTGAATGTGGAGCCTTACTTCGGCACACGTCCATCTAACTGACTCATGGAATTTCCATTCATGAATCACGTCTTTCTTCCAGTTCGCGTCAAGCAAACTTAAACCTCGAAGGTGTTTGGGACACCCATCTCTTCTCTACTGACTTTCCAGGCTGGGGTCTTATGTTCGCAGCTCCTGTTGGGTTGGTCTTGAACTGGTTTTTTCCAACATAAAATGATGAGGCATGATGTGCAGCCGCGTAAACGGTCCTCACGTGTCTGTGGTTGCTATCGGACTTGACAATGGTGTGTTTGCAGCCATTTGCCGACCCGAACGTAGTTTGTCAAGAGGTGGGAAGCCATGGCCGCCGATCAAAATTGTCGATGGATGGGCGGCCCGCTGGGAGGCCATGGACCTTTGACCTTGGAGAGCTTCGGTTGCCCGAAAATATTTGCTGAATGCTTCAGTGGTTCAGGACAGCGGGCATAGGACGGGCAGTCCTTCAAGGCTGGGAGCAGGGTGGGTTTGCTTTAGGCTTTGGACTTCAAAGCTAACGTGGCTTGAGCACCCACGGAAAGGTTCCCCTTGCTATGGAAGACCAGGGCGCGGAAGAGGAACAAGCACGAGACAAAGCTGCAGATGAGGTCAGGGCTAAAATGAGGTGCATTGCTACAGGCGATGCAAGGATGCAGCTGCATTAATGGCGCCTTTCCAGGTCATTGTGGTCGAAGGGGAGTTCAGCTGGTTTGCAGCATGGATGATGATGTTTTGGCTTGTTGTGTGCATATGTCCCTTGACAGCAGTCATCGCGCACGTTATTTGAGAATGGTGATGGCTCATGGCACTCCGGGCTGCCCGGGCAGGTTCTGTGACCATGGGGGTGCTAACCTTCCAGGTGCTGCCAAAGCCTGCTGAGCCTGCTGAGTGGATGTAGCTGACATGCTTTGATTCCATGGCCAGGGCGACGGCATTGAACGAATCTCAGAGGAGATTTCATTTGTCCGGCAGCAAAAACCACCATATGGACCAGCAGAGCAGCCCCAGATGGCCACTATGCGAGAGATAAATGAGCCTTTCAGCTTCTTGGTTGCTGTATGTTGGCGTCCACCCTCTTGCCATAAAAGTGAAGCCATACTGTGCTTGTGAGTTGAATTCTTGAAAGAACTCGATTGATGCTTGCAGTTTCTGCAGTTTATCTCAGGGTATCACTTGCCGCAAGTTGCACTCTACTACTCTGTTGCCGCGGCTTCCTTGGGACTCTTCACAGCACCATGGCAGCACTTGATGCCCATGGAAGGCGTCTTCTGGCATGGCCCGTCTTCACAACCTGTCTCTGAGGTGAGCTTCTTTGCGAACTCAATGCTTCTGGAGACCCAGGGAATCATGCGCAACGCCACTAGATCTGCGTTGCAATATGGTCTCTGTAGTTGTCAGTTGTCAGCCCTGCCTGCTGGCATCCAGCGTGAGGTGGAGATTAACACGCTGATTAACGAGGGTGTGCAGATCTATATGTCCAGAACGATCCCTGTCATTTTGCTGTTCCTCGTCTCAGCGGGTGGCTATGTCTTTGTAACTGCTGGCTGGGGCACGCTGACATGCTTCTGTGCGGGGGCGCTGCTCAACCTGCTCTCAGCCTGGGTCGGCGTCCGCACCACCGTGCAAGGGACCAGCAGACTGGCGACTCTGCTCGGCGAGAACTTGTCTCGCTCTGTTCAGCTGGGGATGTGGACTGGATCCATCGGCGGGCTGCTTTCGACATCCTTGGCTTTGGGTGGTACCTCGTCATCCCTAGCAGGCTACGAATCATCACAGTCGTGAGTCCCGTAGTTGCACCGCCAGGCATGTCTGGGATGTGGTTCTGGATCTTGGACACCTCCCTGCTCTCGGGCTTTGGCTCGGGCGCTTGCCTCGTCTCCTTCTACTTGCGTGTTGGCGGAGGAATATTCTCGAAGGGTGCAGACCTAGGCCGCGTTACACATGACTTGTTTTCTCTGCAGGATAGCCAGGGCGAAGCAGTGGACACCCAGCCATCGTGATACTTGATGCAGGTGGTGACCTCGTTGGCGAAATGAGTGAGACGAAGTTCGATGAAGAGCGGCGCGTCTTCGAGCTGCAGCAGCGCATGGAGCCATGGCCCACAGTTTGGAACTGAAACGGGCTCAGCTGCTTCAGCTAGCTGGCTGTCGGATGCTGTGCCTCAGGAGAACATTGCAAGAACGCGCAAGGAGCGTCTGCAGAAAGGCGAGCTTTTTTGCCTTGTGCATTCCAGCAGTACTGCTGTCAGCTTGCAGGCTTGGAGGATGATGAGGAAGAAGCCTTGGATCAGCTGCGCTTGCTTGAGGAAGAGATGCACGATATTTGCTCGGAGACTCGGCCTGCAGAGGTGGCGGCCGTAAGCTCTACAGTCAACCATGCCTGCGCTGAAGGATCTTCATCCCATTGACTTCTTGGACGAAATTGGAGAGGTTATCTGTGATGTCACAGGGACTTGCGCGGATTTATTCGTGCCTGGACTTGGGTTGTCTTAGACCTGAAGCCTCTCCACCGATATGCATCAAATTGTTTGGTAGGGGCCATGGGAGACGCCATTGGCTTACTAACGAGTTTGCAGTGGTGATGTCCTTGGGTTCTATCATTATCCTGAATGTTGTCCCTGCAAGCAAAGGAGTCCATGGTATTGATCCTCAGCACATCTGCCATCATTGGAGCAAAGATTTCCGCCGTGCCACATTTCCTGACTGGACTTCCATTCTGGATCGTGGCTTCTGGCAATATAGGAGCCATGAGCGATGGATACCTGGGATGACCTGTTGTCCTTCCCTTTGACCTGTCAGGATGTGCTTTGGCGACTTTCAAAGTGCATTGCACTGAACGCGCCTCGATGTTCGGAACACCTACGTTGAAGAGCGTATTTTTCTTCTCGCCGTTCTGAACTAAAAGGCGCGTGTGTCTGAGATATGACAGCCCAGGATACAGTGCAAGGGCCATACGATGGTCAATGCGCCTGAATCTGCGCCTCGGTCCTGCCCAGCATGCTTAATCAGAGAGAGTGATACAGTAGCTCAGTAGCCGAGATTGGCCGTGATTGTCTTTGTCCAGTTCGTGCAGAGCCCAAGATGCACAAGGCATCTTTTTGTCAGCTGTCATCAGGCCTTGGAAAAAGGCACATGCAGTACTGCAAGATAAGGATAGGGGTGAGCTATCTGGAGTGGGTACATGGCAGCATCACTTTCCCCATGTTTTGGCATTTTGCCGCTTGGCAAGAGTTGGCTGGGTGGCTGTGGTACATATTGAGCAGGTTCATGAATCATGTGACGCTGAGGTTGTCATTTCAATGGTGGGACAGCTGCTGCCAGAGTTACCTTCCCGCATTTGCGTTCGCGTCACGTCCTAGAAAAAATTGTGGTGACATCAGTTTCCTGGGCGGCGCATAAAACGCACTAAGTGCAGGCTTTGTGTCATGGCCGGTGAGTATTTTACATCTCCTGACTACTGGCCCATACGATCATTGGCAGCCAATTCCAAGAACGGCGTGGTTCAGGCTCCTGCGCTCTGAAAGACTTCAGCCAGATCGCATGGAAGATGTTTGTGATCCACCTGAGTGGCAGGTTGTGCTGCAAGGTCTTGGGCAAGGCTTTCTTTCCACCTCTGCACCTGCTCTTCTGCTAGCGCCAGCCTGAACCTGGAACCTGTCGTCTCAAGCTTTCTGGTTTCCCAAGTACCATCCTACACTTCACTAGTGACAGTTTGCATCAGGTGCTGGCGGTCATGGTCACATGGACGCTGGAGGGGCACTACGGCCTTGCCTTGCTTGCATCCTCATCCGTAAGCGGCATTTCGGCTTTCAGAGACGTCCTATGTTTGTCGTGCGCATCTGGCAGCCAGCAGAAGCTTTTTGCAAGGTACGGGCTTCCAAGGCAGTCTGGCCTCTTTTGGGGCAATTTTCACCAACGCGCATAAGCAGGTCCATTTGACCACCCACGACTCTTTGAGTCGAAACCGTTGCTCAGCTTGTCAGTGCTTTCCTTTCTGGATGCCTTTGGCGTCTAAAGAGTCTCAGCCGTCTGTTGCCAATGCATGGAAGGTGCAAATGTTTGCGCAACGAGCCTTGCCAGCACCTTCACTACTTTGAACTTCCAGCTCAGCCGACATGTTTTGCTGCACTGACCCGCTGTCCGCATGTCAGGGTGGGTGATACCGCATCTTGACCTGCACTCGAGCAGTTGTTACATACAAGCGCGGAATGCTTGGAGTGAACACCCTTGCAGACCCTAGGCCATGCAAGCTGGAAATACGATCTCAGCCATCAATGCATTCAGCGCAGTCTTCAATGTTGCCTTGACCCTCCTGGCAGAAAGCTACACATCTCGCAGTATGGACTATCAGGCGGGGAGAGTTGATGTTGAAGACTTCAAACAATTATGCTGCACTCATGCTCATCATGCTCGTGCTGAATGGTTGTAATGGTGGAAGGCTGTTTCAGGATCGCCGCTCTCGGAATGGAGCCAAGCTGGGCTGGTGCTGGGTGTGATTATGCCGCTCCTCATTTTAACCTAGACATGATGACGGAGGCCCTAAGAGATAGGCCAAGCGCAGATCAGGTTCCTCTTCACTGGCAATTGCACGGTCAGCTGCCTGAGCCTCGAAGGTGACGTGCCATGGAGGTTGCAAATATTAATGTTCTGAAACAGGCCTGGAGACGTCCAAGTCCTTTATGCGGTTCTGCAAGGCATGGCGTTTAATTGCAGTGGCTTTGCTTAGTCGTTATTCAGCCGAGCCAGATAGATGAATCTTCAGGAGTCCACTGCTGTATCAAAGCGGGATGATCTACCTTTCCCACAGTCGCACATCAAAGGACTGCTTCAGTGCTAGAGCGTGCTTTTAGACTTCTTTGCTGTTGCTGCGTCAAAGCACAAGACGTGTCATTGCACTCGGGAAGACACGAGGAATTCAAATCTTGTGTTCCTTTGGGACCATCACTTCCATGCGCAACTTGGAGTCACGAGAATTGCTTGCTTAGTCGGAGGCTGGTCTCTATTCTGTTGGAGTCTAGACCACCGCAGGCTTGGTTTTCAGCCCCATCATCCACTCGACGCTTGGCAGCTTTCAAGTCCTGCTACAGCGGCCATGGATAACAGCTCTTGAACAGCTTGGATCCTTGTGCAGCATAAGTAAGGATGATTTGCCCCTTGCTTGGCGGGTTCTTTTTGGGCATGCGGGGCCTCATTTGGCTTCTATCCGGCATGAATGTCCTGGCCGGATGCTGAGCTCGTGTAGCCTACCTGCGCGTGACGATCAATGTCTCTCCGAGGGAGTGTGCCTGAGCCTCTTCCTCATCAACTCTGGCCAGTCCTGGGTCTCAGCGAAGAAGTACGTCCTGTTTGGTCATCTGAAGGCGGGCGCGCAAGGGCACACTTTGCGAACAATTGGGGTGGGAAGTCAGGCACATGATGAGAAAAGGGTTCACTTCTGCAGCTGTTGGTGTGTGAATACTTGTGATCTTATCCGCAATCCATGGCAATCAGCCGCAGAATGCTTGTGATGTAGTGGGCTGTGCAGCGCTGGTGCCCATTCGGAAGCTTGCCTCCCAGTGGTTGAGGCGGAGACCTAGGAGGTTGGAAGGAGACTTTCCCTGCAGACCTCAATGAGGGGAAAGGTTCTTGTGAAGCCTGCCTCTGACCCATCCAAAAAGCCTGCTGTCAGCCATGCTGCTGGAGCATCTAGAGACCTGAGCAATCTGTGATGCACACTTTCGACCAGCGGCTCTCTCGACTGCGCCGGGGTGAAGTTGTCCACTCTCTGAAGCTGGCGCGTTCAGCTTCTCACTCTGTTGGATGCAACATTTCAGTGTGGAACTCGACTCGAGCTTTTCCAGGGCACTGCCGCTGCCACACCTGGCAAGAATCATAAATACTCACTAAGTACTTGCCATCTCGGTGCCATTTTCGCGCTTGCACCTGCTCCAGGCGGCTGATGGCAAAGCTATTGGACCCGATTCCGTTCAATACGGCTACTTGGGCGTAGGCCGAGCCACCGGCTTAAGCTCATGTCAAGCGACCCAAAAAAGCCAGCCACCGGCTTGAGCCACTTTGCAGGTGAGATGATTGGAGGCCCTCTGGAAGACACCAGCGGCCCCGCTCTCAACAACTTCGTGAAGCTTCTTGGCTGCCTTGCCTGATCTGAGATTTTCACCTGGTGCCGTGCCTGCTGCGCCTTCTACAGGTTGGTGGCGGTGTTTGCCTTCATCACTGGCGGCCGCACTCTAAGCACAACTTGGACTTAAGCAAGCAGTATTCTTGCGCAAGTTTTATTGGACTGAACGAAGCGTTTGAGGTCTTTATGCCTTTTGGCAGCATTTGTCATATGATGCCTGTCTTGGTGCCGCTAGTCATCTAGTTTCCGCCAGTCTTCTGAAGCGTAAGGAAAATGAGCCCCAGCAGTGCGGAGCCTACATCATCAAAATCTTTCCCTTGATATGGGAACTTCCTGCATATGTGCTGGCAGATTCTGCCGCGTTATTGGCATGCTTGAAGCTGGATGTAGAGATCCTTCGCAGGACTTGGCACTACGGTTTTTTGTGCCTATTCGCCTCCTTCATTCTCTTGGCCCTTGCAAGGCCCCTGCGCACAGCATGTTCTCAGAAACTTGGCTAGCGGGCCGTTGGAAGGTGCATCCTGTCTTGCATTTTGAACTGCATGACCAAGTACTCCGAGCAGCGCAGCGGACTAAGATTGAAGAGCCTGTAGGGCCCGCCCAGCATGCAGAATGCGTGGACATAAGTGGCCTGGGCCCTTAGCAAGGCGAACTGCAAAGATTGCGGAAGCTGCCTCGCACCTACATGCTTTTATGTGGAGCATGGCAAAGCTAGTTCCCTGCTGCTTAGGCGTGAGCTCGAAAGGCAGCAGGAGGAAGGCCAGCTTTGTCAAGAGCTTGGAGTAGGTCTCCGTGTCTCTCTTTTGGCCTTGAGGCGATGACAACGAGGAAGACCTCGACGACGATGCTGCTTGGCCCATGCTCAGCTCTCCACTCTCCACCATCCTTTTTTTGTTGCTTGTGCAGGGCGCTCTTCGCCTGTAGACATTGCAATGAATCTTGAGCACGGGCAAGCCGAGGAAGAGCTGGCCATCACAGCAGGGATGTGATGCGGGAAAGTTGAGTAAATGGTGTCGGTGCACAGCACCGGCTGTCTACCTATGTACATAGGAACTTTGCGCCAGGATGAGGCTGTAGAGAAACGTGGGGAACATTCCTGAAATAACACCTCAATCCATGCGCATCAGTTAATGCTTTCCTATGGAACGCGATCAAGCTTCCGTAGTGAAGCTTGTCAGCGTTGTCCGCGGTCTCACGTCATGTCAAAAACTCGGACATTCGTAGTTTGTGTAGGCCGCCCAGGAACAAAGTCGCAAAAAAGAGAATCAACAAGACGCTGGAACTGTCGAAGAGATTGGGGGGATGAGCTGCAACAGTGACGCTGGCAAGGATGGTGCTGAAGAGGACACGCAACCCAGGTATCATATCCAGCTAGGACCCCAGCACGCGAAGAGAACGTAGTTAGATGTATTTTCACACAGCCCTTGAGGCCACGGAGTCGCCTTCTCTACGACATCAGTTATGAGAAAAGCATGCCGGAGCCGTCACGGGCCAAGTGGAACGGTCCTGTTTTGAAATCCTCTGTGTGCGGTATGTTTCAGGGAAGAGCGCACCGTGATCAGCCCTGGCCCTGTCCAGCATCTTGGCCTGGAGATGAAGCGATCAAGCGGTCACCAGTCCACACGCGCTACTTTCAGGGCTACTTTCAGCATTGCTGTTGCCATGGCAAGACTAGGGGTGGACGTACGTTCCTTACCGTGCTCCCCTGAAGAAGCCCAAATGTCCATCAGCTACAGCAGGCTTGAGGAACAGTGGCTGTAGCTGACATAAGGTTTGCGGGACCTATTGCGAATCTGAAGACACGGACGCCTGCCTCGCCTTCATTTCAGTGTCTGAATCATGTGATTCCTGTGATGGAATTCATGATTTTTGCTGCCAGGCTGTGTATGCCACAAGTGCAGCGCGTCAAGCAGATGGTCGGGCCCCAAGACCCAGGTTACTTGGCATGGCATGTCCCTCCCATCCCATCCATGTTGGCGAAGTGCGGCTCAAGCCAAGACAAAACGCATGTGTGCTGCACTGTGGGAAGGGACTTATTTCAATGTGCGCAGTTGTGCAACATGATGGGTCCGGCCAACTCCGCAGTTTTCACGTTCGCCATCTTAGGCAATCTGTGAAGATCGAATGGCCAAGCTCAAGACACAGGCCGCAGTTAGGGTCTCCCGATAGCTTTCCAACTTCAGTGACCCCTAAACCTTCACCAACTGTGCTCAGGCTTTCCAGGTCTATAGGAGCATACACCTTTTTCTGCAGGTGGTTGCAGGTTGCCCTCCGGAGGTGCTGAAGGCCACGTGAAGAAGCCCAATAGTATAAAGCAAGCACTGCCCTCTGCAGAGGCCGTCAATATGCTGCTCAAGGGAGGCGTGGATCTACTGAGACAGCTCTGAAACCTTCCCTGAAGGTGTTTTGTGTCCGTTTGTCCATACAATCCCTTGTTTCAAGGGTCCTCATTCTAAAAGCTACCAACTGGTAGACGAGGATTCTGCTTGTGTCATATGAATCATTTGTCCATTCTGCTGATTGAGGGCCTGCAGGGGCGATATCCTGCTGTTCGTGCATGCTATGGTTGTACAGGCTCAGTCTCAGATAAGCGAAGGACAGCATTAAATTGTTTACAGCCAGAGGATCTTGTATTGTCGCAAGGTAACCTGCAGATGAGGACTGCTTGCTACGTTCAAAAGTGGGTGGTGGGAGCGCAACTTTCTGCAGCACCCATGAGCTGGCCGGCTTCTTGTTCTGCAGCTGGCATCCTGGCCCTAGCAACAGCCAGATGTTAAGAAAGAGCTGGGAAGAAAACACATGTCAGCAAATCCATCCCCGGCCAAGCTCCTAGTGGCCAATCAGAAATAGTCGGCAAGCAGCAACATGATGCCGTTAATCATGTCTCATGATCATTGTTGATGCTGCCCCAATTGTTGCGCTTCACCTCCAAAGCCGCCACTTCCATGCCCTTCCCATCTCACGACCGCAACAACTAGTACCCCCACTGACAGACAGCGAAGTGCACATCAAAAGTCACTGATTGGGTTCTGTGCCGCGGTCCCGTTTTCATTTTGACGTGACGTAACGAGTGGTTTTCAAGGCTTTTATTGAAGACTTCCACCATCATGGCTGCCGGGTCCCAGCGGACAGTGAAGAGACCTGGAGCGGCTTGGAATGAAGGGTATGAAGTATGAAGGGTGTAAAGAGGCTTTGGGGACTCTTTGTAAGCCGGGCTGGGCGTGCTGACTAAAAGAAGAATCATTTCAAACGGAGATGCTCTTGATTGCTCTTGAGAGGTCTACACGGCAGATGTCCAACGTAGGTTGCTAGAGCAAGTGGCCGAAGCAGGCGATGATCCGCGCATCTAGTTTCGGCGACATCAGCCGCGCGGCATGGCAGGCTCGGCTTCTGAGCCCCGTACCTGCAAGCGGTTCCAAAACGCATCAAAACGCAATGGTGTCAGGATGGACAACGCCTAGATTCAAAGCCACGGCCTCGGCGGGAACCTTGCATGCTCCGTTGCAGGAGGCTGTGCCGTGACTCGCCGCTGCATGCAAGCTCCCAACCGGGCCATGCGTGAATGAATAGACGAAGATCCGCCACACTTAGGTTGCGGGCCTGCAATGTCCTGAAAGATAAGATGCCCGTCTTGTGAGAACAGTGGGTGGGCATCTTTTACTGTAGCAGCTCCTGGATGGACTGACAGCGAAGTAGCCACAGTAGTTCATGCGCTAGCATCCACGAGCCCGGCCAGAGCAGCATGCGCGCAAGCGTTGGCCATGGAATTACTTCGCCAAGGACCGTTTAGCACGAGTGGGGTAACATGCGGGAGCTTCTCCCTGTCCACCAACTGCAAGGATTGCACGACCTGTGTTGTACAACAAGACTCCGGCCGAAGTTCAGGGTTGGACTTCGGCGACGGTGGCATGAGAGGGTCTTTCCGGAGAGGTGATCTGGCATGTTTAGGGCAGCAGCAGCTGCAACGGTGGAAGAGATAAGACTCTGATAAGACACTTTGACAAGGCAGCTGCGACCTGGCCTCATGGAGACTGTCATGTCAGGAAAGAACGATTTGAGGAACTGGAAGAAGAAGTGGTCCGCCGGGAAGCGCCCGCTGCGGTGGAGTCCTATGAAGAAGACATGACAGTGCTTGTCTCTGACTTGAAGGGCTTTACCTCCACTGTGCGAAAGCATGGCAGTGGGCCAAGTTTGGGAAGCACTTATCTGATGTAGTCAGCAAGGCAAGATGTTAAACGACTGGGGTCTTGAGAGTTGCAAGTTGCAAGGCATCATGCACTTCGCTAGCATCATCATGCGAAAGCGCCAGCTATGCCTGCCAATTCTGGCAAAGCATGATGCCGCGAAGATTACGGTGGAAGCTGTGGCCCAAGCGTTTCCAACTTCTAACTTACAAGCTGAAGCCATCGGAGAATCGAGTCGTGGGTGGCCAAGGGCAGAGCCAAGGCAGACAACCTCATTGTGGCCTTCCGCGACACATCTAGTGCAGTCAAGGCTGCGCTAGAAATGCGGGAGGTTGTCCACGCATACAACCGGTCCCTCGAGGCGCGAACCAGCCACAACCATGAGCTGGCAGTAGCAAAGCTCATCATGCGGTCATTGAAGCCGGGAGAGCGCAGGGGATTTCAGTTTCTTTGAAGATGCAAGCGTGGATTTACGAGCAAATCTTGAACATTTGGAGGGACACAGCGGTCACTTGCTCTACATGTTCGGGATCGGGATATATCGGGATGGGGTTTCAATTTGATGAGAAGCATGTCAGCGTAGTAAACGACACCCAAAAGCGAGCAACGATCTAGAAACCGCAGCACGTCTCTCATGAAGACACTCACTGCATTTTTTTTTTTTTTTGTGTGTGTGTNNTGTGTGTGTTTGTGTGTGTGTGTCTTTGAGAATCTAAGTCTTGCTTGCTCTTTTCCTTACCTTTTTTCATCTGGGGCCTTGCAGGTTGCACTGGCCTTGGGGTGTCTTAGGACTATGCGGCATGCCTTGGGCTGCTGCGGGCGGGCTACCGCGAAAAAAACACGCTGCACAACAATCGGTCATTGGTCCTTCGGCTAGAGACTTCTCAACGTGAGATGTGATACCGTAAGCTACGCACTGCGCCGTGACATTCTCGAAGCTACATCACATGCAGCCGGTAGGCTAGAGCAGCCAGGAGGAAAGAAAACACTTCGCTATCCAGCTGCTCGGTGCTTGGCCTTCTTCGGCTTGGATTCAGCGGTGGTTTCATTTCTGCGTGCTTGACGAACTTCAGGAGTGGTATCGGCCTGCACGTCGGAAAAGGCCTCTTCGTCGATGCGCACGGGGATCTCCTTGGAGAAGTAGCACGAGGGGCCTACTGCTTAGGCGACTCCGGCCTTGTCAGCTTGCAGCTAGCAAGGCGCTACGCAATGTAATGAGTCACCAGGCCAAACAGCATCAAGTCACGTGTAAGAGGAAGGCTGAGAAGCAGAGTCTGCCTTTTCGCCCGAAGGCGAGGATTTGTGCGAAGAGTCTACCATCCTGGTCTCACAAGCGGTGCGAGCCAGACTGCTGGCTCCTAGGCATCAGGCACTTAGCCATGAGGGTGCTAAGGTTGGTCTTGTGCGTGAACCAATTAGTCTCAAGCCGTATTGCGCACAAACACGAAGCGCCCAGCAAAGTAGTCGGCGAGCCACCTTCAAGGGTAGCTCCAGGAGAACATGCCTTGCACTTGCAGTACTGGTATGGTACATGGATCGGAAGTGATAATTCGTTTTGTCGTTGAAGTCCTTCTGGGTTTTTGAGTCACCAACGGCAAGCCGCAGTGAATCACGAGCAAGCTCAGGATTCCTGCGTATCATAGGCTTCTCAGGCAAACCGTGGCTTCCTTCGCCTTTTGAAGCCATAGGACTTCCCACCTGCGCCGAGGACGAAGTTTTCTTTGCCCCTGCCGTGTTTAGAGAGGGCGGTGAAGAGGCGAATACGAAGATCAAGTATTTTGCCTTGGAGGGTGACTTCGACTTGC